TCGGGGCGTTTAACACAGGAGAGGAAATGGTCCCATAACTCTGACCCCAGAATCGTTTAGCAGATTTGGAAAGCGGATTTGAGATACTCACCTGGAGACACATTCGGCAGTATACATCTCATCTCAGATGGCCACTGCGACCTAGTATCCTTCCCTTGTAAGGGAAGAACTCACCAACCATTTTTATCGTGAACCTGCCTTTAACGCTAGGGAGAAAGGGAACAAGAAGAATTGAACCGTATGATTACGTAGGTGAGTGCATAGATGCAAGGGCTGAGGTCATAAAACCTCGTCAAGAAGGCTGAAGACACATTCTGCTGCTTCCAACATTCCAACATCCCCGACAACCTGGTTACAACCCGCTTAGGAGTTGTTCAATCTTTTAACTTGTGCACCAGGAACCCCAGAACAACAAACTTTATTCTTCGCAAATCCTACACGTACACAGTCTCCTTGTATATACCGGCTGTATATACCGGCTTACTTCTGCACAGGCGCAACCTCTCTCAATGCATCAGAATCCATTACCTCAATAAAGAAATGCGAACAGCATAATGACCGAGGAGTTTCCATGCCTTATCAAAGATAGAGTTCACTATGAAAGTGTTTTCTGAGATTTCTCCCTAAGATGAACCTTTGGCCCCGCAAGAGAGCTCTCGGATCGAAAAACCATGGCAGAGGTGGACGGCGTTGTACAGGCTGTAGAGGTTGGACCACTGCACCGGGACGCAAATATAGCACGCAGATAGTATTCTATAGCCAGCTTTACGCAATGTCATGTATTTGGACGGCTCGTTCAGATACCCGTTCCCTGCAACATTTTCATCACATTCTCGTCCAACCCCTAATTTTATAACTTTTTTTACGCCTCATAGGGCGGAGGTGGTGTAGTAGCAAGTGGCGCACTATCTCACACGCACGGTCAAGGATTCGAATCCCGGATCGATATCCGCCGAGGCCAACCAAGCCTTCCATCCCTCGCGTCGGTCAATTGGTTTAAGAGTCGTCTGGGAGGATAAAAACACTGACTTGTACATTGGCTGGCCACCGCAAGTCATTGTATAGGCCACTTACGCACTCATTACGCCACTACGATTGTGAATGAGAGTCGAGTGCGGGAGCGCATCCCTCAGACGGAATTAACGCCAAAAACTTTATCCTTTTCGAAGCCTTATATTTTTCTCGACTCGCCAGTTTTCGCGTCCTCGCCCTTTTTTTCTATAATGAATTATCACACCAATTGTTTGTTTAAATTGGATAACCCAAAGTTATCGTGAACCGTACCTATATTTAGGGTCGCCTTGAACTGAGATGTGAGGTGACCTCAACGATGTGCGAGAGCTCAATAGTGGTACAGATATTTCCACACCCGAGGATTTCACGCTAAACTTTTGGTTCTGTTAGGTCGCTGGGACTACGAACCGCGCTCCATGGATGAACATACATTGCCTCACACCTTTGAAAATGAATGATAGGCAATCAGATATAATAAGTCGGCTGCAAATGTGGTGTTGAATCGGGCGCCGCAACGAGCTTCTGAACTGTATTATATCTATCTGATATGTGTCGAATGTGATTTATGAATTTAAATATATTGTGCGTTTTCAGTAATACCCTTGGTGAAAGATTCCGCCTGATTTTTGGTCGCTACTGGCTGTTGAATTTCTTGTTTCCACTTTGCTGGAGTCCTCAACTTCTCACTGCTGAAATTGCCACAAATCTTTTTCGTGTAAGAAGTAAGCAGCTATGAAATCCTCTTTTTAGATTCAGACTGAATGGCATTTTCGAATTATCACATTTGGCGTTGTTTCCTCCTTTGATGTTTTCTTTTCGCTCCCCATCAATCCTCCTCGTCAGTGATCTCATTGCAATTGTATTACCCCAACTTCAGTTTTGGTGTGTTAGTGTGTTCCTAGACTGACTAACTGGAAGTAAACTTTCATGTCTTACTGATTTACTTCTTTTTACTTTTGTATCTGTCTTAAATCCCTTAAATTCTGTGCACTAGTAAGGCAGTGATTAGAATTTTTTGCATAAAAATGTCACTTATATTCAAAGGGGGTTTCGGAATAACTTAATGAATTTAATTCACGAGGGATGTCCTGATACCTTCTTTATTGCATGATACCTTCTTTATCACAAATGAACTCGTGGATAGATGAGGACTTTTTGAGGTTTTGCATGAGGCTTGCCAAGGCTAAGGCTGCCGTAGCAAAGCAAAGAATATGTGATTGGACACTTGTCCGTGAAGCTTGACTGTCGAGATGGAGAAAAGTTCGTATCCCGAGAGCTTATAGCTTGGAATGGGACTACTCAATATATAACGGACAGTGAAGGTCGCAAGGAGCTCTGACGACGCCATACTGAGGAAGCCAGCCGAGGTGAAGCTTTGACGGGAAGAGTGCATAGAAAGGTCTCTTGAAGAAGATGAGCCCACTAAAAGAGTACACAGAAGAAGCAGCAGCTGGTCTCATAGATGAGGTGCGTCGAGCAATAGTTAAGGTGAAGATTGGAAAAGCTGCAGGTCCTGATGGATACGGATTTAGCGCTCGGAGAGCACAGGATTGGGTGGCTCATCTGATCCCTCAACAATCGTGCTGTCATATTGGGTATGCATACCATGAAAGCGTACAAGCAGCTGCTAGGCTAATGGGCTAGCTTGTTTCGATCTCCCAGGAACTATCCGAATTTGTGTCCAAAGGATTTGCAAGGGATGCCATCTTCACACCTGAAAAAGTGATGGAGATTTGCCAGAAAAGGCATACCCCTGCTCTCCCCTATTTGGAGAAAGCCTTCGACCGCACACCTTGACCAGTTGTGAGAGCGTTCCAATAGCGGAATCTTCCGGAATCTGATCTCAGTGGTCAAAGAAACGTGCGATAGGTTCGGGGCGGTTACGCGCCCAAGTCACGGCTTTATAAGGTCAGTATACCACTCAGTTGGGGCTCACCAATGATCAGCATTGAGCCCATTCCTCTTCCTACTAACACTGATTGCTATCACAGAATGACTTATGGGGGAACCACTGAAGACCATCGCTCTGACAAGGAAGGTCTTTCAGGGGTGGGACGCTTTTTGAAAATGGTTTTTTTGCATGGTGTAGAGGCATGAGCACTGAGTACAGAACTATGGTCCATTTCCGCTAAATGGCCTTCCTTCTGAATGCCAAAAAAGGAGTGAAAATGATTTTGACAGAAATTGCCGTTTTAACCCACTAAGCGTCGTTTGTTTCATTCGGGGCGTCGACTGGCCGCACAGTGGAAGGGGCCGGTGGAGGCGACATTGAAAATAACGTGAACGGTAGCCAAAAAAGGGGGCCACATGTTGAAGCATGTTGAAGAGTGTGGGGTGGTTTCATATATGCTCTCCACGGGGGACGGTCAAGTCGTGCGTCCGAGGGTGCACGCGGCAAATTGCGCGGCGAAACCCATACCTATTCTGACGACTTTAGCGCCTATTATTTGGGCCCATTTTCGAAGAACAGTAGAATAGTAGGATCAGCTGACCT